TGTGTGTGTGTCTTCTCCACCGTCTCTCTTGGGGTTTTCCTCTGGGCTGCCCGACCCTCCCTCTCCCTGTTAATAATCCTGCGGCTTGAACACCCCACGTCCTCTCTCTAAACAGCTCAGCACACTTCCCTACTCTGCCTCCCCTTCTCTCTTGTCCATAAATGTGTAAGTCGTGCCAGAGTGTGGAATTCACAGACTAACGACACGGTGAGGTATGGTGTGTTTGTATTTTAGAGCAAGATGCCCAAAGAAACTTTGCCTCCAAGCCACCAGGCTCTACAAGTGGTTTTGTGGGATTCAGCACAGCCTGCTTGCTTATTCTGTTGTTCTCTCCCTCCCACCCATAAAGTGTTAAAGAGATTCAAAAATAGATGGATGGAAAGCAAACTTGGATGGAGTTCCCTCCGTGTCATAGCGTATCTGGAGGCCAACTGGCCAGCACTGGCTGTCTCATGCACTCTGAGGAAAGGGCACCGATTAAATATTTCTCGGAGTACATCATTGCATGTCCACCCTCAACTGTTTAAATATGGAATTCCTCCTTCTCTGCCGTACCCCTTTACATAACGACCCCCTTATTTCCCACAGGATGCCACTTCCTCCAGCCCAGCCCAGCCTGAGGTAATAGTTGTCCCTGTCTACCTGGTTAGCACTGACAGAGGGCAAGAAGGCACGACCCCACCACCAGCACCTCAGGGGCCACCTGGCTGCGCCCCCACATTCCCAGCGACCACCTCTGCTGGCTCACCTCTGACCTTGCCGACACTAGATGATTTCATCCCCCCTCATCTGCAGAGGCGTCCCCACCACAGCCAGCCAGCCAGTGCTTCTGGCTCCTTCCCCCCTGTTAGCCAGACTTCACCATCCTCACCACCACCTCCACTGGTCCCCCCAATCCCGGAGGACCTCCACAGAGTCCTGGAGCCTGATCTCACGGGAGCTGTTTCAAGTACCGTAAGCTTGCTGGAACTCCCTCCTCATGACTTTGCTGAATGTCTGCCCCCAGCAGTAAAATAGCCCTCTCTCACTGGAATACTAAGTCCTGAAGAACTGAGCCTTGGCTGCCACTATTCCCTGCGTGCCGACTCGGAACTGCGTTTGCTTTCTCTCGAGTGCATGCTTCCGTGTGAGCCGTGGGCCTCTCCCGGCTGTTTATGGAGCTCTCAAGTACCTCTCCTCCTCTATCCTGCTCTGAATGCACGTCTTCCTGAAAGAACTTTGTTTCCCCCTCTGAGAAAACATCAACTGCTGCCTTTTACTTCAGCTGTGAAGTTACCTCTTTCTAGGCAAGGCAGATGTCATGTTGAAAGCTCAGGAAAGCCGCAAGAATTATGTGGAAAAGTCAACGGCAGGTGTGGTGCTGAATGCCAAGTTTCTCCACCAGGGAGCAGGGAGATTGTAGAGGAAAAAAAATATTGGCTCTTTTGTTGATGTAACAAGTAAACAAGCTCTCTTTTATATACAGAATTGACAGGGTAGGTAAAAACAAAAACCAAAATGCGGAGAGTTAGATTTAATCTTGCAACTGGATGGGAATCCCTGGTACAAATGTTAGGACTGTTGCCCTAAAAGGGAGGAAGTTGATGAGACCCCCTGAGTGGTGGTTCTCGGAGCCTTATGGGAAAATGGTGGATGAGTGTCATGGGAAGGCAGAGACCTGTGACACTTCCAGCCTCACTTGGAGGACGAGTCCCCATCACAGGTCAGAAACCCCAGACTGTGTTAGAGGAAAAAGCTGAATCTAAGTCCTTTGACCTCTTCTCTTCTCAGGAGTTCTTGGGATTGAGAGGGCCTGAAAGAACCTCAGTGGTGGCCATAAGATGGGGGCCCCTGGGTCAAGTCAGTCCCTAATACTGTAGAAGAGTGTTAGCTGCCATTGCTAGAGTTAAGGGAGCACATTGCTAAGGACTTTGTTCTAAGTGGGAGGCCAGAGCCACTCAGAAGTCAGTAACTGGCTAATTAACAGTCAATCCCCGACTTCAGCATGTTCTAGGCTGTGTTGGATGTGGTGGGTATAATTATGAACAGGTCATGGCCTTGCTCTCGAAGGGCAGTGGGTTCTCAAGCTCGCTTGCTTGGGAGTTGGAAACTCGTTGTTCGCTCTTACTTAGATAATACCCAACCCCGAATTTCTGATTGTGTGGGTCTGGGGAGGAGGCAGACAGCTCTGACTTGGTAACAAGCACCCTGGGAGATTCTGATGCTGGGGATCTGCAGGCCCCATTTTGAGAAATACTAGTCTCTAGGTCATGTCATTGTGTGATACAACTAAGTAAGCCATCTCTGACATCCTTTTTTGAGTAGAGAGATTTGCCTTTAAAACTGGCCCAACTAGCTCATTTAGCTGAAGCTAGTCCTACAGAAAATAGAAAGGAAACTTCCCTTTTGACTTGTTAGAGAAATTATAGTGAGACATCAGGCACAGTATATCGCTAAGAACTGCTGTAGCCTGGGTGCAGCCTTTCCCCAGATTTCTAGATGCACCAAAATGCTGTTAGTTAAGACCAAGCCAGACATACATGGCTGGATTTCCATTGAGGGTGCAATCACTCTAGTGGAGAAAATACTCAGCTCTTCTCTTCTGTGCTGGCCTTTACCAAGAGCTCCTCCACTTCCAGCTAACTTTTAGGTCCATTTGGGAGCCGTCTTGTTTGAGAAAGGGCAAGGATTCTTGCCTTGGTCACGGAATGAGTTTCTGTGGAGCAGTGTATGAAGTGAGACTTAGTTTTAATGCACTAGTCAACCTTTGTTAGGAGCTTTATTGCTTTCCCTGTAATTTAAAGTTTGCTAAGATGCAGGCTTTCAAATCCACTTTGTTTCTGGTATAGAAATAATGATGCCAGGACAATGACATCAATTTCTCAAGTCAGCCTGGTATTGGCATCCTGGGAACACCTCAGTTGGCCTGATAAACTCTGGTTTGGCCCCAAGTGATAGAAGTGGATAGGGAACCTGCTGGATTCCGCTGCTGAATAAGAGTTGTCAAGAAAAGCAGGGCCCCCCATGCATGATGTCTAAGGTGTGGGTTGATGTCTGTTCCTGTAGATGTTTGAGACTAAGGCAAAGAATGGAGCTCATTTTACATGATCCAAGTTATTTTATCAATAGCCATTTTTATGGTAATGTTATTACCTGTTGCTTCTGTTTTGTTGTGTACCGTAGAGTCAGAACTGACCCATAGATGACCCTCCAGCAGGTTTTCAGAGGGCGTTAATCTCACAGGAGGAGATTGTCCATCTTTTCTCCTGTGAAGCGGCTGGCGGCCTCGAACAGCATGCCTTTCAAATTACAGCACACCTTCTTGCCTCGAGGCTACCAGAGCTCCCTAATAAGCCATCTAGAAGAAAAATTTTATATAGTCAGTGCTTACATAATCTCCCCAGACATCACATAGATGCTTCACAGAGCTGAGTGCCTGCTCTTTTGTATGGGGTTGGTTTTTTCGTTAGGAATGCTTCCTGATAGTTTTCACTGGGATGTCATTTGCTTTTATTATGTAATGGAGCAAGTAAGTTGGGAAGGGAACAGGTAATTGTCTTCTTTTTCCACTTCCCTAATGGAAAAAAAAAGAAAGAAAAAAAGGAGCTGAAGTCCCTCGGTACAAGATCATGCTGAGCCTCCCAAGTCTTAAAAAAAGGTTTTATACAGTCAACCAAGCTGCCCATCTTAATAGCAATGGCTGTTTGGGGACTGACTAAATTAGGGTTTACCAAAGCCCCCAGGAGCTGTCCCAGGTCCTGACATACAGCGTCATCATCTTGGTTGGACAAGCTCTTTCGGCAAATACTGCCCAGAAACACCTTTGCTGATAGATGATTCCTGCCATGGTGATGGCATTGACTGAACCTCTTACACCTGTGGGGCAGTGGGCTACGTACAGGGGAGAGCAAGACAAAGAGCCTTTGCCCCTCATGGTGCATAGAGAATAAGCCCAAAGCAAGTGGATTGTCAGCAGTTGCATTCTGGCTCACGGTGGCCCCATGCATGTCAGAATAGGGCTGTGCCGCTTGTTTCTAAGTTGACCACTGGGTCTTTCTTCTAAGGCACCTGTTGGTGGTTTCAAACCACCACTTTTCTGGTTAGCAGCTGATCACATTAACTAGTCCCTCACCCAGAACCCCCTTACCAAGCCACAGATCTCTCATGCACCATAATAATGGCTTCCGCAATCACCATCAAAATCTTATTCTTAAAAGCTTTTGAGGATCACATCCTAGCTTCAGGTTCTGCAAACTCCAAAATAAACCTTGCAAAACAAAACAATGTACATTGGAGGAATGTATCTAAATATCCTTGTTATGGTCTAGGGTCTTATTTTATTTAAAAAGAGTAACAGTATCCCCATTATGTACAATATAACATTAACATTAAATAATTTTGCTAGTATTTCTAATAGTGACTTCAGGTATATAAAGTCAGGGTTTCCCCAGGGCACCTTTTAATACTGTCATGAACAAGTATCGCATCGAGACAAGATAATATCCAAATCCAGGAGCAAGCGTTAGAGATGCTGGTGGGAGAGTAGCATTCCGAGAGCACAACGCCTTCACTCTTCTCCTGTTGTTACATCCGTATCTTCCTACCCTCACCTTGTCTCATATTTCTCTACACAAGTAACTAAGCTTTTCATTTAAACCAGCTCTTGTTCTTGGATCGCGTTGGGAATTGCATGCATTTTGCATGTTCCTCTGCTTAGATTGGGATTTGCTTTTCAGTAACTGGATTGACCCATGATTATTAGCAGGTGAAATAATGAATGACATTGTTGAGATTTTCAGTAACCTTCTGCTTTCCTCCCTCTTCCCCCCTCACTAATACCAACAAAGAGAATAAGACTTCAGATTAAACTTCTAACTGCAATTAATGATAGGATACGGAATGTCTCCTCTCATTGTTTACCTTTCTTTTTCCTAATTAGGTCCTTCTGACTTTCAATTTCCTCTTGTTAGGAAATAGCAACTCTAGGTTCACTGGGTTCACAGTGTTTGCTTTCTTTCCAGGGTTCAAGTCCTCTCCTAAATGAAGTTTCTTCCTCCCGCACTGGGACGGATGCCCAGACCCTCACACCAGTCAGCAAGCCATCATCGGCTTACCCCTCCACGACAATCGTCAACCCTACCATTGTGCTCTTGCAACACAATCGAGGTAAGGGAAACTTCGTGCTGCAGCGTTTCCTCCAGCCCCCTGGAATCAGCATATCTGGTATACGCTATCTGTGAAAGAATTCTGCGCTTCCACAGAACACTTGACAAATCCAGGACTTCGCTACAAGACTTTCTCCTCCGTCACTCACTCCCATGACTCATATAATGGATCCCAGCAGTCAGGCTGAGGCTCTTGATATGGGGTGATGCCAGATGAGATCCCTTGTTAGGTACACAGATAGTTTAAGTACTTGGTTACTAAGCAAAAGGTTGGCCGTTCAAACCTACCCTGGGGCACTTTAGAAGTCAGTCCTGAGCATCTGCTGCTATAAAGCACAACCTTGAAAAGCTTGTGGAATGCAGTTACAGTGCCGGCACCGTGAGTCAGAATCAACTCAAAGTCAACAGCACCTACAACGTGCGAGTCAGCAAGGCTGATGTCCTTCCTGCTTATCGTCTCTATAGAGAGCAACACAGGAAAAAAATAAAAGGAGAAAGTACAAGCCTTTTAATTCATGTCACAAGAATTCTAATCAGAGGCTTCTATCAAAATACATTGATGCCTCTTTTAAATAGTGTCATAAATGCTTTAGTTCTTTGACATAATACATTTTCAAGAAAAGATAGTGATCTCCTTAAGCCCAAAATTATTACCAAAATTAGTTTTAAATTAATTTTGGGTAGAAAATTTTCTGAAATAGAAAACATTTTTCCAATCTCCAAAACTGAAGTTACTGAGCTTTTTCTTAGGTACCTCAGGACCTTTGTTACTGCCAGTAGTTATTACCCTGTGCTGTTGCTCAGTGGTGCTGTCTGAGGCAGGAGAAAGATGCCAGCCCAAGGGTTGGAATCCATCTCAAGAGAAAGATGGACAATCTAGATTTACAGCCTCTGAAACCCCCTGGAGGGTCAGCTGTGTGTCAGCTCCAACATAATGGCAGTGAGTGTCCTGTCCCTACCCTCTGTGACCCAGACAGCTCCGCCTCTGAGTTTTAGTGGTGGCTTTCTATACCTTCTCTGAGAGGTTCTAGTTGGTCTTTCCTACCTCTAGAAAGTAATGAAGACTAGACAAAACAGAACTGCCATGAAATTACTTCTGCTTTAAATTTCCAGATAACAGTATAAAATTATAAGTTTTCCTTTTTTGAAATTCCACAGAAGAATCAAACTCCCTTTCAAAAAATGCCATCTTTATAAATTGGTTGAAGAAAAGGCAAGATACTTTTTTTCTTGTTCATTACTGTTCTTCAGCATTTTTTAAATTTTCTACTAATTTATTTACAAAATTCGAATACATTGTTTTTAAGAACAATTTCTTTCAATTTCCCTCTCCCCACCAGCAATATACTTTTTGACTCACATTACTTCCTAATTATTAATTAGTAACTAATTACTTGTAAAGAATATAAAACAATATAAAAATTTATAAGCTAAGGCAGTTGAAACACAAGGGAAGAGTCCAGGATGTGTAGAAGGATGAATGGAAATCAGAATTGTAGAGAGAAAGTGGAGGAAATTTGATTCCATTGTAAGCCCTGAAATTGATGTTCTAGAATAAAATGTAGAAATGATTGGATAACATATTAATTTGCTTTGTAACCTTTCACTCAAATCACAGTAAACAAGAAAATTTTTTTTAGAAAGTCAATTGGCTGTTAAGAAAAAAATATCATCTGTCATTTTCAAGCACCTTCCTAGTAGGAAAAGGCTTTTTATTTGAATTTTTTTTTTTTAAAGTAAAGATTTCTTTTTTTCAGAGCTGAAAACCCTGTACCAGATTTTCCTTTTCTTGACTCCTTGCTCACTTACTTCACGGCTCTCCTCTCTTCCTCCCTCTGTGTTAAGTTGGAGAAGAATGAGACTGAAGTCTATTTTTAATTATTTTCTATATTAAATAATGTTTTCTCTTTCTGACTCCTAACTTGAAGAGCAGATAAATGAGATATTTTCTCTTTTTCTTACTCAGTCTTCCCACTCAAATGATTATTTTAGGGTCTGATTGTTTTCTCTAGTATATGTATTCCCCATATTAATTCTTACCCATGAGGCTATGTTCTTGAAAAGAAAAAAAGGGTCCCAACTCTCCCACTGAAGTATGTAAGAGCCCATTCTCCTCCCTGCTATGCCCAGCCCCTTACTGGCAGGAGCTTTCTGTGCCCAGAAAGTGTCTGTAATTCAGGACAAAGTGAAATTTTGGTTCTCTATGAACTTCTTTATGACTCATCCTTTTTTTAAAAACCCACCCAGTCAAACAGAAGCTAGTTAGTTCCCAGAAGGAAAGGCACTTTCTTTAAAAATGAAATTTATTCCCAAGGCAACTTGATTCTTGGGAACTGCCAAGTCCAGTGTCAGCTATTTCCTCCAAGTTCCTCTGATGAAACCAAGAGAGACAGCTTTGGGCACAGAAATATCTGTAGCTCTATTTTGTTTCTTCTTAGAACAAATGGATCCTTTCTGCTTACCCAAATATCCTTTGACTCTGGTCTTTCTCTTTTGTCTGAGTTCTGTCATTGAGTTAAAAAGTCAGAACTATGTAGTGGGATACATATCTTTGGGAAAAGGACCCAGGTAGTGGCTTTACATCTTTAGAACTCAATAATCATTATACCTGCTATTGTCAAGTCAGTTTCTCCTCGTGCCCTGGAGTGTATCGTGGTAGCACTGTATTCCACAGGTTTCCAGTGGCTGATTTTATCAGAACTAGATCACCTCACCTTCCTTTCAGGTCACCGCTGGATAGATTTGAACTCTGACTTATCAGTTACCAACTGAGCATGTTAACTGTTTGCACCCCAAGTGCTGCTGAGTAAATGATAGCATCTGTAAAGAATTACTTGCAGTTACTTGCTATGCATCAGAAAACTGGACAATAACTAGGGATGATAGAAAGAAAATTGATGCCTTGAGAGGTGGTGCTGGAGAAGAGTGTTGAATATACCAGGGATTGCTAGAACAAACAGGTTTGTCCTGGAAAGGGTGAAACCAGGCTGCTTTTTGGAGACAAGGATTCTGAAGCTCCACCTGACATACTTTGGGCATGGTGCAAGGAGGGACCAGATGTTGGAGAAGGACATCATGCTTGGAAAAGTAGAGGCACAACACAAAAGAGGAAGACCCTTAATGAGATGGATTGACTAATTGACTAGGATAATGGGGGTGGATGTGTCAGAGACAGTAAGGTTGGCTCAGGATAGAGCAGGGTTCAGAGCTGTTGTGCATAGGGTTGCTGTGGGTCGCAAGCGACTTGACAGCACATAACAACATTCTGTAAAGAAACTGGGCAGTGTTCTATTCTCTTTCACTTGAAGTTTCTGTGAGTTAGCATCTAACAACGGTTCCATAAAGAGCAAACCATGTGCTCACTGAGGAGGTAGGGCAGGAAGCATCTAAGAAACTGGAAGAGCCTAAACAAACATGCAGCCTTAGATTACTCATAGTATATGGGGTTTAGGTCAGCCGTTTTTTTGGCTGCACTTTGGAATGTGCCCGACCTGGCAGCTTTGCCTTGCCCTAGAGAGAACACCCTGAAAGACAATTTCTTAACAATTGCAGAGCCTCTTGAGGAAAGAGCAACTTTGCTCCACTTTGAGAATTCTTATTTTTTTTTTACCTAAAAATATTCCTTTCTTTTTTTCTTTTCTTCTTACTCAAATCATCCCAGGGCACAGTGTGCTGTACAACCCAGCTTCTCTCCATTCTGAACAAACCGAAAACCTCTGAGTTCTTATCTGTGGCAACCAATAGAAACAACATTACCTCTTTCCTCTCTTTCCTGAGTTTGATACTGTTTATATGAGTGTGAATCACTTGTGACCAGTATGGGAAGGAACATTTGACTCAGGAAGCTGAGGCCTGGAAAAACCCCTTGGATACCCTAGCTCACGTTCCTCAGTCTTCAGTGGGCATTGGATACTAGGGGTCTTGTTGCTTGCAAGTTTGTATTCAGGAGGTCTGGATGCATGCCTGACAGTCTGAATGTTCAGTAGGTGTGTATTGTTACTGCTCCGTGGGCTACCATGGAAGAGCCAGCAATCAGAGGTGCCCAGATTGGCATTTTGTGAACATGGTTCCCAAGACAAACCATTTCTGACTTTGTTAGGGAAAACTTCTGAAAAGCAGTTGCTACTATCTCATATCACATGCCATCCTATGAAAGAAAGGCCATTTCATAGCTTAGAAGAGAGAACAACATAATCTTTTTTTTTAAAAAAAAAACAAACAAACCATAATCTTTTAAATGCAATGAATTTGCTTTCTGCAGACAAGGGGAGCCTCACCACCAGCATGCAGGCCAGAGTTTGGGGATCAAAAAATCTAGCCAAGCATCTTGATGTTAACAGAGAAGAAAACTGAAGCTGAGAGGTTGAGATTGGCTTGTGTGTGTGACCTGTTGCTGACAGAGCTGAGCCTTGAGCTCCAGCTGGACTTCGGTTGTCAGTCGCATGGTCCACCCACACCCGAGGAGATACACAGGCTCTGCTTCCACGGCTGTCAGGGCTCCAGGGCCATGCTGTTTACTTCTCGTCCACACTGATTCTGGTGGAGGGTGGGGACCCGGCCAATGGAGACGTGCTTGGATGATAACAGAGCACCCATGGCCTGGCATGCAGTCTATTTTTATATCTCCCTCTGCCCTATATTTAGCTGCTGTGGTAGGAAAAGGTCAGAGAGAGAGAGAGAGAGTGTGTGTGTGTGTTTGTGTGTGTCCCATAGCAAGTATGCGTAGGGCTTTCCAAAGATGATACCGGCCTGCCGTCCACTCTGAATGTCCAGGAGAGTGAGAGAGCTATACAACAGTGAGATTTTGAGATTAGAGTCCAGAAGAGCGCTGGACCAAGAGCTGGATCCAAATTCTAGACCTGCCTTTGCTTTTCACTGTCATCTTGGGTCCTGTTGCACTTTTTTTGGAGGTCTGTCAGTCTACACTGACTTTTTAAAGATTTTCTCTATAACCTGCATCAGCGGATTGATAATTAAGAAACTCCTTAACATTTATTCATCTGTATAGTGGGGATAATAATCTTATCTACCTGCTAGATTTATTGTGAAGATGTGAAAGATTAATATGGGTAAAATACCCTGGAGACAGTGCCTAGCACTCTCAGAAGCTAGAAACTGCCATGGTTATAATTGTAATTCTATTTCTCTTCAAATGGTGCAAAGGCTGAGGTGGTATAAAGTCCTGTTCACTTGGAAGCAGGGAGGTTAGGAGAGATCTTGAGGTGCAAGGTATGCACACAGCTGGCACATGGCTGAGGGGACTAAACCTGGAGAACAGGAGCGACGTTAATGCCTCTGTAGTCAGCTGGGCCACACAGCATCTTAGCACCTAATCCCAGAGTACAGTGACGGCACTGAGTGGAGTCCTGATGGATTGTGCTGGGACTTCTTGATTTCACCATGTACTGCCTAAATCCTGCTTATACTGTGTTTTCTTCTTTCATCACAGAACAGCAGAAACGACTCAGTAGCCTTTCAGGTAGGTAAAAAATATCTGTTCCTTTGTTACCCTCATTTCTGTTAAAATCGTTCTCTGGCCACCACCAAAATGTCTATCTAGCCAGACCTGACAAACTCCTCTTATGTGGGAACTGGGCTTACTGTTTTAACATAGAGCTGATGGAAGCAGGTGTGGGTTCTGCCTCCCTGGAGCCTGCAGCCTGCTGGGGGCCGACCAAACAAGTGTCCCAAGCTTGTTCTCATTGGCACTGTGATAAGTGCCTGGTGGAGACAAACAGGTTGTGCTGAATAAAACCAACAAGGGGTTACGCATCTAGTGAAGTGTCTAGCAGGCTTATCTGAGTAGGTCCCCTTTGTTGTCCTAAGTCTCTTTTAGGAAATGACAAGTTGGGGAGTGTGGGCAGGTTCTTCCTTGTGTGTGTGTGTGTGTGTGTGTGTGTGTGTGTGTGTGTGTGTGTGTGTGTGTACGTACTGTCAGATCGGATCTGACCGATACAGGAGGAGATTGCATCTGGTGGATTCGAACCGTGCACCTCTGGGATTGCAGTGCAGCTTCTTGCTACTAAAACACCAGAGCTCCCTAGTTCTTCCTTTTATAGAAGACAAGTGCAAATGCTGGTAGATGACCCCTAGTAGAGTCTCCAGGCCAGTAGTGCCTGCAAGAGGGTGTGAATGCACTCCCACTTGAACTTGAACCGGCTTAAGACTCCCCTGGAGAACTTGTCAACACTTTGCCATTCAGAGGTTTCCTTGCACTAGAGGAATAGATGAGATTTCGTAGATGAGAATGTACATTTTTTTTAAATGAGGTGATACTGCTGCCATCTGTGCTGCCCATCCTTTAAGGAGAAGGGGGTTCAACAAGAACCAGCAATGATGAAGAACACCTGGGAATATAATCAGGTCTCAGGATGCACGCCCTGATGCAGTGCTTGGTTAGGGCAGTCTTACAGTGGTGGTACTGTTGTTAGCAGCCGTCAAGTCAACCACAGTCCGTAACGACTCTGAACAGCAGGTCTGAACTTGGGCCTGTCCCATCATCCTCACTAGCCCATTGTTACACTCACTGTGCCAATCTGTCTTGTTGAAGGTCTCCCTCTTGTTCTCTGAGCCTCCACCTTTCCCAGCATGATGTCATTTTCCAAGGACTGTCCCTTCCTGACAACATGCCCAAAGTATGTGAGAAGCAGTTTCACCATCCTGCTTCTAAGGAGTGTTGGGGTGAGGAGGGGCGCACAGGTAGGCTGAAATCCTGAACACCGCTCAGTGGGAATTTTGAGCAGTGTCCTGCCACTTCCTGTAGCCATTTGTCTTTGATCTGCAAGATCGTCTAATGTTTCTGGGCTTTATTTTCCAAGTCCATGAAGTGGAGAAAAGTGATAGCTCCTGTCTCAGGTTGTAGGGAAGATCAGTTGAGAATTGGCTTAGAAACAGTTAACACTGGGCTTTATCGCTTCCTAAGTGCTTGATGAATGTGGATACTCTTAGCAGTCAGTGCTTCCATTATCACTCCACTGTGTTTTTATCAAGTGCCCGCTTTATGTCAAGACTGAGCCAGATTGGAGGCTTCCATCAGGAACTCTGCTCCCATCAAGCCGCTCAGCTAGCATGTAGAAAGGTAGTTCCAAACCTTTCTTTGGACTCCTTTGGGGAAATCATGAGAGCAGTAGATTTGTCTTCCAGAAGAGGCCACACCTCTGCCAACATGGTTGCAACTTCCATGGATTTGCAGAACCTATGACCTTGAGGGTTAAGAACCCTTGATCTGGTGGATAAAAAAGCTGTGCTTTTCTTGAACAGCTGTGACACCATTGCTGTGTTATTTCTTCCACTGCTGGCAGCATGACTTGTGGGAAGCCGGGGTGGGGTGGGCATGGGGTTCTCACACCCTCTCAGCATTATCAGAACTTGGCCACAGGACTAGGACAGGCTATGTTTGAAGGCAAGGTGCCCTTTGCTGTCCCCTCGTTGAGCTGCTGCACTCCAGTCCACTTTAGTCCCTGGCCCTCGCTGAGGTTGCTGAACTCAGGGTCGTTCTGAAAAGGTGGTTGCCTGTGTGCTCCCTTTCACCTTTGGGAGTTTGAAAAATATCATCAGGAAGAAGACATCCAACTGGTCCCTTCTTGTTCTTGGCTCTGACTCCCTGAGTAAAGTACCTTAACCTCTCTGAATCAGAGTTCTCTTGTGAGAGAAACTGGGATAATAATAACAACTCTATCTCCTGCCTCAAAGAGGAATAGTAAAGATCCTCTCTGATGGGAACAAGAGTGGGAGCTGCTTTGCACCATACTGGCAGGCTGAAACTTGTTCTTAACTCTGAAATAGCCTGGATACCATCTCCTTCCTTGGGTCATGGGCAAGATGCAGCAGTGATGTTTAAGAGAGTGGGGCATAAAGTTCCTCAAATATAGTACAAGGTACCATTATGTACCTGAAAGAGAGGAATGGTACTCCCCAGTGCTGTGCCTTGGAGCAGGGCTTTGCCTACCGCCCCTGTGGTGGTGGGCCATGAAGGGCCAGCCAGGCACTCTTCTTCCTTTAACAAGTGTCTGTGGGGCTGCGGCAGGGCTTAATGCTGTGGAGGGGTCATGTGGAAATGAGACCTACGTGGGTTTTGGCCTCGTGAAAGTCACAGTCTCCTTCAATAGACAGGAAAACAAAATAGGGACAGGGCAGAAGGGATAGGAAGTGTAAGAATGACTGTGATACTTCATCCCCAAATTTTGGGGGTAAATGAAAGAAGAATATGCTGTGACTTTTCCCTTTAATCTAGTGGCTACTCTTCCTCTGTGTCAGTTTCTAGCTTGTTTCTCTTTTGATGAGTGTAAGTACCTCCTTCCTGCAATTTTCTTGGTTTCAGTGATACCCGACTGTATGTTCCAGGTTCATCTGCTCCACGCTGACAACTGCATTTCTCAGGGGGGAGGTAGAGGGTGGAATTAGTTGACATCTCCACCTGTAACTGCGGGCATCCTTAAGTGTGTGATTTTAGCCCTTTACTGTTTTCATGGCCCTCCTCCATTGAGCCCCTCTGACCTCTTGACTTCAGCCATCACCTTGCCTCTAAAATGTACCCTCCTGCTGAGGCCCTTTCACCTGAGTGCCAGTTCCATGTTCTAGAGAACTCCAGGATAGTGCCGCTTAAGCGTCTCACTGTCATCTTGACATTACCATGGTTCACAAAGGAGCAGCCCTCTCTCCCTCTCTTCCGCAGCACTTTCCTAACTTTCCTACTTGGATCAGGCCAGGTTCTCCAGCTTGCAGCTTGGGCGCCATCTTTGAGGGAGGCAAGACAAAGCTTGGTGATTGGACAGCCACTGGACTCAGGTCACATTCACGTGCCTCTGCTGCTGTAGTCTCAGACCTCAAGGCTTCTCTCATTGTCATGTGTGTAGGAACCAGCTAGGGGTCTGGTGAGAATTTACATCCTGACTCAGTAGATTCTGGTAGAGCCGGTGACTGTGGTTCTGGGGCTAGATTCCACATAGGAAAGTTGGAGGATGAACTACTTGGACCTTAATAGCACATTTCTCTGAAGAAAAGTGGCCGTTATCCAAACTATGTCTTTATCACATCCTTTTCCCTCAGCTTCTACCTGGTGAGTCAATTTAAGAGGCACTACCAAAGCCACGTCTTCTCCACATGGGACTATTAAAGACTGTAAGAGAAAGCCTTGACTGAGTAGTCTCCCCTGAGTTCAATCATCAAGTTTTCAGAACCTTGGGATGCCTTGATAGTGCCCTTGAGGCTAAAGAGATCATGTAAGGAGCTCTGGTGGCCTAGTGGCAAGAAGCTGCAGTGCAATCCTGAAGGCATGCAGTTTGAGGCCACGAGCTTCTCTGTGGAAGAACGATGGGCAGTCTCCTTCCTTGCAGTTAACTGCCTCTGAAAACCCACTGGAGGGTCAGCCATGGGTCGGTTCCAGCTCCACAAAACACAACCACAAAGGGATCATGTAGTTTCTGTCACAGCTGTTCAGCTCTCTCATTATACTCAAAAGCAGCCATTACAAAAAAAAAAAATAGATAATTGAGTGGGTATGACTGTTTACTGAGAAAACTTCATTTGCAAAAACAGGCACTGGCCTCTAGGTTGGAATTTTCTGACCCCTGCATAACATAACAGGCTGCTAACCAGAAGGTCAGAGATTCCAATCCACCAGCTGCTCCTTAGGAGAAAGATGGGCAGTCTCCTCTCATAAAGATTTACAGCCTCAAAAATCTCATTGAGGGTCAGTATGAGTCAGACTTGACTTGACAGCAGTGCGTTTTGGGTTTTGGCTTTATGTGGAAGCAGTTTCACTTGAGTACTTGGTGAAGATGTTCTGCTCAGTTGGGGTGTTGTGGTTTTTTTCACAGTCCTAGAAGAACTTCCGGTAATGGTTGTCTTTATTTCCAGATTCTGTCTCAGAAAGAAGGGTGGAGGAGCAGGACTTAGCACCAACCCAGGAGAAACTCTCACCAAGCAAAACTACAGAAAGGAAAGCCAAGGACAGCAGGCGTATAGTGAAGAGTGCTCAGGACCTGAGCGATGTGTCGATGGATGAAGTGGGCATCCCACTCCGGGTACGCATACTTACCCAGAAAGCCCTCCTTCAGTATCCCAGCAGGCCCCTACACATTTCCCTGAGCACACATGAACCTGTATGCAGGTTACAGAGGTCCATGGCAAGGACCTCACCATGTCCACTCACCGAGCCGATTGACTACTTGCTGCTTTCACGCTGGCCTCATGTGCTGCAGCTCCGCCCAAGGTGGCATTCTTAAGAAAAGGGTTTCATGGTCAATGAATATGAGGAGAAGCTGGGTGTGACAAAAAGAGAGGATTAGGGTTTTGTGCGAGTAGCATATCTGGGAGGCTTTAGGCACGTGAAAGTCAAGGGGAGAGTTCTGGAAGGAGGGGGAGGTAGGAAAATGTGCAACAATGAATGAATGAAAATTCAACTTTCCTTCTGTTAAACTTCTATTAAAATCACAATTTAAAAAGTTTTTAAAAAAGAGGGGGAGAGTGCTGTATTTCCCCATTTCCCTTTATTCTGTGATGCACACACAGAAATTGTTGTTCCTGAGTTGTTTAGACAACCCTGGGGAGAATGAATGAAGCCATGGTGGCACATGGGTTAAGCCCTTCGCTGCTGAACAAAAGGATTAGCCCACCAGCCACTCCACAGAAGACAGACATGGCAGTCAGCTGCCATAAAGATTTACAGACGTGGAAACCCTCTGACCCTTGTACTCTGTCCTACAGGGTCACATCGAGTCAGAATTGACTCAAAGGCAGTGATTGTTGTTAAGTGCCATTGAGCTGACTACAACTCATAGCAATCCTGTGAACAACAGATCTGAACCCCGCTCTGTCCTCTATTATCCCCATCACCTCTGACACATCAGAGCCCATTGCTGAAGTCACCGTATCAGTCTGTGTCATTGGGGGTTTTCCTCTTCTTTGCTGACCCTCTATCTTTCCAAGCATGATGTCCCTTTCTAAGGAATAGCCTCACCTAGCTACATGTCTAAAGTCTAAAAAACAAATCTTCATCATCTTTGCCCCCAAGGAGCTCTCTAACCACACTTTTTCCAAGACGTACCTGTTTAGTTTTTTTGGCAGTCCATGGGGTATTCAGTACTCTTTTTCTTTTTTTATTCTTATTCTTTGTCCAGCTCTCAGATGCATAGCAGGTAATTCAGAAGACCATGAGTCAGGTGCCTGAAGCAGGTGCAACTTAGTCTTCAAACTGACATCATTGCTGTTATCATTTTGGAGAGATTCCTGACAGTAGGCTTGCCCAATGCAAAGGCAGTAGATGGATTATATTTATTATAAGAGCCCTGGTTGAACAAGAGCTAAAGCACTGACTAATAGAAAGGTCGGTGATTTGAACCCACCAGTTGGTCCATGAGAGAAGAATGACAACCTGCTTTTTAGAGTCTTCTCCAAGATTAAGGGCAGTTCTGCTCTGTCCTTCAGGGTTGCTGGGGATGGAATTGACTCTGTAACAGTGGGCTGAGTTTGGTTTGTAAGAGAGTGAAAGGAACAGGGTCTTTGGGTTCAGGAAGAGGATCCTTTGATGGGAGACATCTCGTCCTAAGAGAGTCGAAAACTTAAAGAGAACCACAGAGTGGTTTCCACTTGTCCAGAGCCCTAGAAAGCCCACTCCTCACCCACTGCTGTCCATTTGGTTGTGGGCCTCCCTCAAGTTCCTGAACCCACTGCTCTCTCAGTCAACTAAAGGCTCCAGAGCAGAGGGGATTTGGTACAGTCCTGCCCCAGCTCTCCTTAAGCCCGAAGAATTCCAGGGTTAGGGTGGTTTCCACTTCTTCCCCTGTACCCCTGTGATTGTCATGTAGGCAAATGGACTGTTATCACTTACAGGGAGGCATGCTACCCAGCAAACAGAAACAGCAGTGGGCTAAGCCCCTGAAGGCCTGTTCTGTGGTCGCAAGGGATAATACAGAATTATTACAAATAGAAATAGCGGCTCCCCTTTATCCATGCATAATCTCATTCTATCACCACTCTCCTTACTAGGTGGAATATCATTACCTTTTACAGGTGAGGAAACAGATTCAAAGGGATTATTTTCTTTTTCCAAGGTTACTTTGCTTGTAGGTGGCATTGTGTCAAATGGCTTCCCACTCATCTTTCTACCAGCTCTGTGACCTTGAACGATTCACTTTGACTTTCTGTATCTCATTTTCTCATCTCTATCATGGGAGTGAAAAATATCTGATCTGATCAAACCACATATCTATCTCCTTCTTTATTTTTAACTTTTAAAAAAAGCTTTGTGGCGAGGATGAATATTCACCGATGCTATAATGGGTGGTTTTAATGTATGCGTTCTAAATCTGGCCCTAGGGAAGGTGACTTAGATACACTTCTGCAGAATAAACCAGAAGTTTCAGAGGTCTACCCTAATAAGAAACCCTTTCCCTCTTTACTTCAGTCTAGTGCAGTTTATGTGGATGAAAAATCTTAAGCAGGAAAAATATTTATTCTCTTTATTATTATTATTATTATTAACATTATGTAAGAATAGATGTATTCCAAGTGGATCCTTGTCTACTTCAAGACCTATATCATTACGACTTAATATTATTAGTCTTGTAGATTCAGTTCTGAATTTCTTGCTCTGTTCTTTCCCCAAAATGTTTAATTTTGAAAAAGATTTAAATGAAGGATTGCAAAGGTACATAAAATTGCACATCTAGGGTTTTTTGTTTGTTTGTCTTCCATCACATCTAAGTTTTGACTTTAGATGCTGCCATTCTGTTTGATTTTAAACTTGTAATCCTAGAAGTTTTAAAATTTGCCAAGATTTTGATTTCCTTTTGTTGTTTTTTTTTTTGCCTTTGTTTTCTTCCAGAATACCGAGAGATCAAAAGACTGGTACAAGACTATGTTTAAACAGATCCACAAACTAAACAGAGGTACTGATTTTATTTCTAGACCTTGTGCTGTCCTGTGCTTTGCTGTTGTATGTTGACTGTTGTATGTTGGGGTGAGGGCTTATGCGCTCTTTGCTCAGTGCCAGAAGATGGGCCCTATGGCTGGATCCATTAGGGACTGGCCTGCCTGAACCTAGCAATCTACCTTCAGAGTCAAGGAGGGAGGAGGCTCTGCATCTGCCACAGGTTTGGACTTTGAGGGCATCCCTCAAGCTCCACCTCCCTCCCAGATGCTGTGGAACCTATCTGCTTGTGCTCCAGCATCTACCTGCCTGGGGATGCAAGCAGCTCCAACTCTCACCCGCTTCCAGCTTGAAGTGCATCTCCATGTGTCGGCCCACGACTGCCTTAGGGTCAGCATGAGCTGTGAAAGCACTGGACTGGCTCTTAAGAACACTGGATTCCCACCTGGAGACAGTGCCCCAAGCATTTGGACCAGTTTTACAACCTGTCTGTGATTATCCTACTTTCAAGGTCACAGCGTCCAGAGGAGAGAAACCCATTGCCAGGGCTTCGTTTTGCAATGAACTGATACGAACCAGAACAGATTAATTCAAAGCTCCAGGCATGCCTCTTGGAGAGGAATGCATGGTGCACCTGTGAGGCAGCCTGAATGTAAAAAAATAATCTTCCCCAGCTGGGAGCCAGAACTTGGCAGGTAGCTCTGAGAGTCGGTCCAGAGCTGACACACCAGCACCCGCTCATGTTGGAAGGAATGTGCTTCCAAATCAGAGGCCCACGGAGCTCTTAGCAGATGATGCAGCATGATGACAGAGTCCCAGGCCAGTGCTCGGGCAGATTCAGGACATCCCACCCTCAGCTCTCATTGCCTTTGTGCTGCCAATCAGCTGATAAACAGGGATGTCACTGCACAGTGGGAGATGTACCACTGCCCCCACTGACAGACCATCCGGCCTTCCCTGTGGCCAAATCCAGTCTGGCCACCTGGCGCAGATGACACATGAAGGCAGAGCCCAAGCGTTCTGGTCAGTGTTCCACCTCAGCTGCAAATAGCCATTTTCTCCGATTAGCTGTGGGTGCCAATTCGCATCACTGTTCATTACCGTCTGCAGCATTCAGCGTGGCCCAGGGTGTGCCCTTCCTCAGACTTCCTGAATCCTGAGACATTCAGTATCAAGCATATAATATACATCGTGGTTGGGAGGTTGCGCTCAGCCATGGTGGTGGCGCTGAAGGCTGTCTCTTGGACTGGCTGTGGTCGGTTACATTGTTCACATCTCCCGACTTATATTTTCTGGAGCAATCTGTGTCTCAACCTTCAGACCCAGCTTCCGCAGCTCAAATGCTGAACCCTGGGTGCAATCATGCAAAAATCATTCTGCCCACAAGCAGCCTTGATCCCCTCAAAGATCAGAGTTGTTAACTCAACCTAAATTACAGGTTCTCATCTAAACTCTCTGTGCTACACATAGGTAGCATGGTAGCGTTATTTAAAAATTAACAACCCACGTGTTTACCTTAACTCTAATGCCCACAACATAGCTTTGATTAAAAAAAAATTTATATATATATATAGATATATAAATATATGTATGTATATATATATATATATATATATATATATATATATATATATATATATATATATATATATATAAAACTTTGGTGATAGGATTTCTTTACTTATTATTCACAAGCTTACTTACTATTTTTGCCTATGAAAACTTTACAAGTTTTAAAAGTTGTGTTAAATCTTCCTGGTCCATAGAGCCTGTAACCAACCATGTAATCATTTGTCCAAGAAAAAAAACTGTATTCTGTCTTTAGATGTGTCTCAGAAATTCAGGCATAAGGACTGGATTTCTTTTTTCAATGGCAGTTTGAATTTATATGTCTCTGTATATCTCAATAGTGATGCTCCACAAGCCCCAGGATTCAGGGACCTGCATTATGTATGATTCCCAGTCGTTCATTCTCTCCATTTGTATCTTCTTCTATTCTCTCTCCCAAACCTGCTCTCTTCTGCCCAGACACTCCTGAAGAAAACCCTTATTTCCCTACGTACAAATTCCCTGAACTTCTTGAAATCCAGCAAAATTCTGAAGGTACCATAAAACTTAGCGAGTTTATCTGTTGTCTTAGCCTTAAATTAATTCCTATAGTTCCATTATAGGAATAAGATTTGGCTTTTAGACTTTTATCTTTTTTTTTTCTTTTTCGATTAGTCAAAATTTTATTTCACTCATTTGCATGATATGCTGTTAAAATGACTAAATCCTTTCTAACGCATTAATCTATTTTTAAGTGTGATGCCCGTGTGTTTTAATAACACTAAAATAGGTAATCAGTCATTCGAAAGAGTCAACTGGGGATTTGTCACTTCCCCTATGTCAAGGTGGATAGTTTCAAAATCCCCTGCTTTTTCTCTGCTACAGAGGACACTCCTTACACTCCTACCTACCAGTTTCCTGCTTCTACTCCTAGTCCTAAATCGGAAGGTAATTCAAGGAAAATTGTGTGCCCCCCTTTGTACTGCTGGTGTTCCTTTCTTTTTCACTTTGGGGTTTTTCCTGGTTGCTAAGAGCTGTCTCCCAATCATTTGCTTCCCTCTAACCTTGTGTTCTGTGATGTCTTGCTCCTCGCTGGCCATATAACCAGAGTCTATCCAGATGGCATTTTATTCCTGTTCTCTTAAGGTTTACGTAATTATAATGGGATAGCCAGTATAACTTAGTTATACTTCTTTGAACATTGTGCGAATCTGGGGCAGCCTCTCCTTACCCATCCACCCAGGGCTCTGCGTTTGGGGAGATCACGTAGTACTGATGGCTGGGCAGTGGCTTGGGAAAACTGAGTTGTGATGGCTGATGGGCAGAAGGAGGTCCTGCCAGCTTTCAACATCAACGAAATCACGTGGTCCGTATTTGTGTCGCTGACACAAGCCCTGTGGTTTATCTTCCTGCTTGTGGAGAATTCCTGACATGATTTCAAGGTATCAACTCAGTGATAGTAGGAGATTATATCTCTTGAAAATAAGGGTTTTATACGAGCTGGAAAGCATTTCATGAAAAAGCTGACAAGGAATTTGGACCTATTCAGACAACCTCATCTAAGAGATATTATTTCCCTATTGGGAGCACAGCCACCTCTAAGAGAGATTATATTCTGGGACAAAAAGTTTCAAGTGTAAAATAATCATTCTAACTAGCCTAGTGCTGGAGAAGGTTCTAAAAGGTAAGTAAAGGACAACATCCTGATAAATTATCACGGTCTTAGGAATTGCTTGATATTTCTGTAAGTGGTCAAAAAAAATAAGAGTGATTGGGGTGGAATCTGAAGAGGGCAATGTTTGTTAAGGGCTATTCTAGGATAAGGTGTTGAGTGCTGTGAACTTTGTCATTTTATTCAGCCAAGACCAAGCACTGAATGCTGTCGTTGGCACTGAGGCTGTTGCCCTGAGTGAGACACGACCCTTGTCCTCAAGGAGCTCACGTCCAGTAAGGAATCAGACAAGGCCACCTTGACAGATTATGTCCAATGTGATAGCAGTTTCAGAAGCAGATGTCTAAAAGGCCATAGAAAACCTTGCTGCATAGTAGGTGCCCAGCAAGTACATGGGGCACGCTGGTGGAAGAAATGTTGAGCCTGTGGACCCAGTTCTTTTGTAGGGATGAAACCCAGCTCTAGCCCCTTGTCATTTTTCTGCTTGAATCAGCTCAGCAAAGTGTCATAAATCCTTTTCACCGATGATTAAGTCATATATTCCGTCATTCACCAAATACCTACTGATAATTTAATGTAGTAAAAATAATGCCCTAGAAACTGCCAGATCTAAGCTTTAGTTCAAATATCACATTCCTGTGTTGGCCTCACAAAACTAAGCAAGATTTACTTCAATCTAAGAAATAGCCAAGTTTTGTTTGCCAGATCTATGGTTATTAACTATTTCCTTCCAAGGTCTTTTTGAGAGAAAAGTCTGTCAGACAAACCCAGACTTAAGAAAAAGTTAATCAGTTATTGTGTATTCATCACTAGCTTCTTCTCTGTCAACCAAAGCTTGTGTTTTGTGGGAGATGACTTGGTCTTTCTTTTATGGGGAGCTGGATCTAACCAGAACAGTGAGTTGAACACATGCAGAAGTTTTTCAGGCTATTTGTACCTGGATGTGGTGGTGATGATGATGATTTTCATTTGTACTTTACCTGAAAATTGAAAACCAAAATCATTCCTAAGTAAGGGCTCATTCCCTTCAAGGGAAGAGGACAAGGATTCAGTCACCTTTGATCATCGTGGCCCTCAAGGTATGGCGTCCAGACACGAGCAGGTGCTAGGATACCCGGAAAGGTCCTGTGGAGAACAGTGATTCCAGTGAATGGAAAAACGACCTGCCATATGCGTGTTGCAGACAGTGACAGCAGCTTTGCCAGGCAGCTTGACTGTTGATCTGAAATCCATTTCACTGCCTCTTTCCCACCTGCTGTTGGAGCTTCTAAGTGACCAACCACCAAGACTGGCGGCCCTGGCTAACAGCAACATCTGCTTTCTCATCCACATGAGACACAGAAGGCACAGGGTGTTTGCTTACAGACATAAACGGCAGTGGATGATGCAGTACCGCTTTATGTTTCATTTAGAAGCCAGTCTTACTATGTTTCCTTTATAGAGACAAAGAAGAAATAGTTGTCTTCAGGGGTAAAGAGGAGGGAGGATTAGATTGGACTTCAAGTTTCATTATAAAGGTGATTAGACCTGACCACAAATTTCGAAGAAATGTTCTCTCTCAGAGGTCTTTTCAAAGATTTCATCCCTTGTACCCAGCCCTGCCTAGATGACAGATGCTGGAACAATCACTGATTTATTTAATGAGATGAAGACTTTCTACAAATGAGTGAAACTTTGTGCTAAAAGATTTTAAAGGGTTGATTCCCCCCCCCCTTAAATGTTTTAGGTATTTTGCTTCAACCATGTGTGGTATGGAGGTCTCTGGGCACCCACAGCCCTTATCAGCCCTGTCCTTGGTGCTGTTCCAGCCCTCCTCCTGGGGCCCAGGGGTCTGTGCACATCCTTCCTAACAAAGGGAAGCTTTATATCTTTAGAAAAATGTATTAAAGACAGATCAGTGCTGAATGGAAGCTGTACATACAGATCTTAATGAACATTGAAAAAAGAGACAGTTTTGCTGAGAAATGTGAGCTGCTGTTTCAGAGTCTACAACCTGGGGAGCAGAAAACAGGTTATAACTGGTACCGTTTGTTTCATTTAAAATTCAGAATGAGACTGACTTGTAATAAATTTCTCAGAAGCTTTGCCTTTAATCTACTGCCTTTAAAAAAAAACCCACAAAACAAAAACAAACCCCACTACTGCCTCTAACTTATAGCTGTTTCTACAGTCTAGAAAAGACATTTCTAAGTATCTTACAGTGGATTCTCTCAAATAACAACAGTGAAAAATAAACGTCTGGCCAGACTTTGAGAAGATAAATGATCCTGTCTGAATCAATCAGGTTTAAAATGTGTTAAAACAAAAACCTTGCCGAAACGAACAAAGAATAGTCACTTCTAATCATTTTACAGTCTTAGAGAGAGAGAGAGAGAGAGAGAGAGCGAGCGAGCGAGCATGCACAGTTATGTCATGAGCTTCATGGGAGAAATTGAGTATAGGGCATTGGGGAGGAGGGTAGAGTGGAGAGCTCTGGGAGGGTAGCCCTTAGGGTGTTGTGCTGCTAACCCAATTGTGGCACTTGTTTGGTGGTTCAAATCCACCGACAACGCCCCAGGAGAAAGATGGACCATTTCCTCACTTGCATATTACAGCTTCAGAAAACCACCTGGAGGCTCAGCTATGAGTCAGTTCCAACTTGATAGCAATGAGATCATGAGGGAGAATGGATGCACGAGATTTGTTTCCTATAATTTTGTTACGTGCCCTCATAATGAAAAAAAAACAAAACCCAAGTAAAAATAGTAAGAAATCCCTTGGAAATAGCATTCAAGTAAGTGAGCCCTGGGAGCCTGGTGGCCTACCACTCGGCTGCTGACCGAGAGAGTTCATTGGTTCGAACCCACCCTTGCTCAAGGGAGAGAGATATGGTGTAACCCTCTGGAGCAGTTCTACCCTGTCCTACAGGTCCCCGTCAGCCAGAATTGACTTACAGGAATCCACGTGGCTTTTGTCTTAGACTGAGTATTACTTTCCGTGTCATTTACCTTGCACTTGACCATCTCCTTCCCATCATTTCTTCCCTTTTGATACAGAGCTATTTGTCTTTGAATGTCATCCTATTCTTTCAGAAGTCCTTTCCTTGCATCTGAGATGATGCTTGTTCAGTAAGATTGTAGAGGTGAAGAGAAGGGGTGTTGCTGGGCACCTTTACAGCTGTGACCACAGAAGGGTTACAGAGACGAGTCTGCAGAAATCTTACTATGTTTTTCCCCAGAATAGGCCAAGAGGGATACAAGCCAAAGGAAATAGTGTCCCCTTTCCTTTCTCTCCTGCCTTAAGATACAGAGTCTGCAATAATAATGAGGCTGCTACTTATTGTGCTCTTGCTGTATACCGTGGTCCATCCTGAATGCATAACAGGTCATTTCATCCTCATAGTGATTGTAGGAGATAGGCTGCCTTTTAGTAAATGTAGAGACTGAAACTCAGAGAGGTTAAGTAACATATACACGTTCACATAGTAAGTGGCAGAGTGAACGTTCAAGTTCAGATCTGCATGACACACATCCCCCCCAAGCATGTGGTTTTACTGACTGTGTCAGTCTGCTGATTCCTTCCCCTTTCCTGATATGCCTTGTATTTGGTTTTCCACCTTTGGAAGGCTGACACCTCACCCTGGCCTCCAGCTCCTTCTGCTTCTGAGTCAGTCATGCCTTAGTCGTCTTCTGAGCTAGAGTCTCCCAGGATAGTGTTGGAAAAGATACTCGGGTGATTTTGAGTCCACAACCAGGATTGAGAACCACCAGAATGGAGGGACCTCAGCCCTTCTCACCATTCGGAATGAAGGGAGATATTCACCCAGATAGATTTTGGGTAATTTTGATAGAGATGAGTAGGGAGACCATATCCAAATAATATACTAACTCTCTTGATATGTTTGAGGCCATGAAATGAAAGATATTTTCAACAACTTTTACTTCATGGACGATGTCGTAGGTGATTCCGTGAGCTGTGTCATTGGGAAGGTTGGTCAGCAGAGGTAGAGTCCCAGACTCCAGCTTCCCTCTTGCTTTTGGATCTCAGATCTCATCCATGACTTTTCAGGATGTGGGTAGCCACTGCCACCTCCTGGTGAAGTGATTTTAGACACCACCTGAAGGCATCTCCAGGTTTGGGCACATATTATGCCGTAGAGGCCTACCTCCTTATGCTTTTCCCACATTCCTAGACAAGGATGTGATATTTGAGCAAATAGAAGGTCAGTGAAGAAGGAGAAGACCTTCAGTGAAGGGGGTTGACATAGAGGCAGTGGCTGAAACAGTGGGCTTAACTC